CGTCCTACATGCGTGTGCTCATTTAGCTGCGTCACATTAAAATTACGTAATCCTTAACAACGCGTGCGTGGCAACGGGCCAGTTCTCTTTGCCCCGGGGAAACGGCTAACTAATTGTTATTGTGAACTTTGAACCTCCGCCACGAGGGAGCTTGTTTGCAGCTCTTTGCGGACGGTGCGCGTCTTCCTTCCCTGTCGAAGGGATGGTTTGGCGAGAGTGGCTGGGGTGAAACAGGAGAAAGAAGTGGCAGCGTCTGTCACACAGTTTTTAACGCCTAAAAGAGCGACTAATAGTATTGTGTAGTTTTAGACGAGCGGTATGGGTGGTGGGACAACGCGCGTCTGTGGATTGGAAGCAATTGTTGTTCTCCGTCGTCCAGCGGGACCGATGGTGGTTGGACAGTATAGGAAGCACAGTTACTCTCAATGTGATTCTTCAGCTCGTGTAACTGAACGATTCCACTGCAGGCTGGACAGCGGAGGAGGAGTGCGCCCACAACCTTCAGGGTGACGTGTGATACTGGTGATCTGATCTGTGCATCGTGAGTGCTGCAATGAGGGCAAACTTTGTCAACGACGCATGCCAATTTTCTGCAACCTGTCTCTACTGGCCTGTCGACAATGCAGTGACACATGCAGCACTGCAGGTCCTCTAGCTGGGGACGTGTACTCGGAGGAGAGAGAAAGAGAGCTGGTTGGAGTGGGTAAGGAGCATCCCAGGATGGCGTCGTGGACTTCTTGAGTCTGGTCAACCCTTCTGTAGATTTCCTTGGCCTACCCCTGTTCTTTTTTGGCCGACCTCCTACTGATTGGCTCCGAAACATGACGCATGCCGCAGCCATTGTCGTCATGTGCCCGCCAGTTGTAGGCTTCAAGATGTGTTGTTACACCATTAGCCATTCTTGTCATTTTCTCCTGGCAACTGAGGCACACTGTTGGTGGGTGAATGTCTGGGTGTCAGAGTGCTGGTCAGTGCCAACTGCTGCCCACTGCTGCCCACTGCTGCCCCACTGCTCTGGAGGAGCATGGATATATGTAGGCTTTTGAATTGGCATTAAAGTTGGAAGCACAAACTCTGCAGTGCTTTTGTAGCTGTTCCAAATCATATTTATGGCTATTGCGGGCCATTGATGAGTGTGTGTGTGTAGAGTGCCGTCGGAAGTCTCGCAGAAGTCTCGCGTGCACTAGGTACCCGGCCCCACCTCTCTGGGCTTGCTGCGAGCTGACAAAAAATGTTTAGTGATGTCTTGTGCGAGGTATTGTACGGTTTGTTGTGCACTTACTGCATATGGCTTTGCATTGTGTGAAGCATGGCACTGAGCGGGTTTCCGTGGTACCCTTGGTGCAGGTTGCAACAAAGACGGTCTGCGCAGTTGTAACCAATTTTGCCAGCTGGCTGCGCGAAGCTGCCATGGTGATGTATAGTTAGTGTTCATGTTCTTTGCAACCATTGAGCGCTCTGTGTAACGTCAGGATTGGTAGAAAACCCCATAGCAACGAGTTCACAAAAACTACACATATACGTTGCTGTCCCGCGATTACAAATTTCTGGCCGGCCAGCACGCGATAACGATCTAAATGTCCGCGTGGAACAGCCGTGGACAGGTGTGACAAGAATGGCGTGCGCAAACCGCACAGCTGTTTTGGCCGTCGGTAAGGAAATGATATCCAGGCTCAGTAGAGTTACGCAGTTACTACGCTATGTGCGTTATCGAAATGATCCTGTTCCTTTTTGTGCTGCTTCTCTGCAAGTTCCATAACTGAATTCCAAAGTACGTATATGTAAACAAACTCAATGGAAACTGCAGACAGTTGCGTTGCTAACGTGGCGCATGTGCGGTTTCATTGAATTTACGTAACCGCGAGATTTAAGTAAGTGCATTCACCATTTGCACGCGTAAATGACCCGTGGAGGGACATCAAGAACTGGCTGGAAGCTTACAAGTGTGCTGCAGTTCAAACGCAACCTCGAATCCACTGGCTGAAGGTCACCTGCAGCGCTATTGTTGGTTCAGGCTGAGTAGTGCAAGTACTCGCGCTAATAATTTTCAATTTCTAGTTCCACCGAATTCTTCTCACAGTTCCGAGTCCGCATTACGTCGCGCTCCGATACTTGGAAGTTCACGTAGTGCACTTGCCAAGGGCATTCCATTGACCACTGCTTTGCGGAAGTCGCACATGCGCGTAACTTCTCACGCACACATGCACATGATGATTAGCTGATACACTGAGGGTGACATGGCATACACTGAGAAAGAACTAGCACTATGCAACTGATGGTGTGCCTAAAGCTGCTCATTGAAAGAGAACATTAACATAATTAATAAACTTTTTACATAAAAGTAAAATACAATAAAGACAGGATTAAACTCAAAAGACATACTGGACTCCAAAGGGTGGAGTGGCCTTGCCTCATTTGGGAGTGTACTGTGTGTCGAGAGTATGAAGAGGGCGAAACACGCAGTGCATTACGAACAATGAGGAACTCTCCTGATGACCAGTTTGGATGTCTTTTGGCAGGGTTATGTATACTCAGATTCAGTAAAGAATGAAAAAACGTTGGCTTTGCATTTCTTAATGCTCACACGAGTGTGGACAAAAGACCGCCCAATTGAGTTTACCACTCCTCCTTTAAATCCCTCCCTCCCTTGTTCTTCCCCCCTCCCCTCCTCCTCCTTTTCAGTCCATTTTCCTTTCCTCCCATCTTTTTTGTCACTAGGTAGTATATCGCAGAATAAGAGTGTCATTATGCACATACTCATACATGCACATGTACATATGTGCATGCTAACTTGGTGCAGTCTCACTTGGTGCGGTCTCTCTTGGTGCAGTCTCGCTTGGTGCTGTCTCACTTCGTGCATCCAATGCCCCAACAAGTATCTTGACAAGACCATCTCTGTTCTGTGTCGTGCAGCAGTGATACCACTCCACTTCCATAAGTGGCGTGAGTGGCGAAAGCGGCTTCTTCTTTATGAAGAGGAGCTTGAACATATGCCACGTCCGACCTTCGGACAGAATGGATATCATCTCTTATTACCCGTTGCTAGGTCGTTGCTTTAGCACAATAAATCAGCTACTCACCCAAGAGGGTGAAAAGGTGAGAATATCCACTGTGGTTAGGGTAAATAACTAAGGAATGGTGTGAATATCCACTGTGGTTAGGGTTGGGTATCAATGTTTTTATGTACAAACTCTGACAGATCGCGAATGGCAGAGGCTTTCCGTTTGGAAGTCGAGGGTTGGGATTCTGAGACGTCGCTGCCGTCCGAGAGTAGCGCTCCTGGGACGGGCCGCCGGCATCGAAAAGGCGTAGGCTCTCGCTATCTCTGACAAAAAAGAGGGCTACGTGCAAACCTCTCTGTTGCTGTGGAAGTAGTGCACGTAGCCCTCTTCCTTGTCAGAGATAGTGAGAGCCTACGCCTTATCGATGAAGACGGGCCCGTCCCCAGGAGCGCTACTCTCGGACGCGGAGTCTTGCCACGACGTCTCAGAATCCCAACCCTCGACTTCAAAACGGAAAGCCTCTGCCATTCGCTCCCTACATCGCTCTCTCGATCTGTCAGCGTCGTTCGTGTTTGCCTGGCTGAGTCGGCCAGCCGCGTAATAATAGAACGGCACGTTTTGCGCAGGTTCACGCGCATCACCTTATTTGGGTGAATGCGCCATTATCGCGCGTGGTATCCCCAGCAACGACCAATCAACGGTAATAAGCATTTTATTACACCTTTTGTCGTGGTGTTGCGGTTTATCCGCCCTCCCCCCTCGGGCGCTACGCGCCCTCGGGGAGTCGGGCGGATAAACAAGCAACACCACTCCAAAAGGTGTAATAACATATACATATACTTCATACGTTTTCATGGCATAGTACGACTGGAGCAGCAGCTGTCCTAGATGTGTCGAGTCAATCCGATTTATGTACCCCCAACAATTCTTTTCTCCTCCACCATCATGACTGGCACAACTGTCATTTCTTGGACTTCAACGATGGCAGCGGCAAAGTCCACCGACAAATCTGGGCCACGGTTTCCAGTCTTCAGGCAGCAGAAGGGATGAAACAGCCGGTATTGAGTGCTGGAGCAGGATTGATGTTTTTCTTCGTGGCGATGAGGCATTGCTCAATGTATGGGTACACTGATAGCTAGTCATTCCCGCCTTGCAGGAGTTCCTGGCGGCACTCCCAGATCTTCGAAAACTGAACTACTTCAGCTGGGGTCTTTGGCCTCCACCCTTCCAGACTCAAGCTAATCCCTAGAATTGGGGAGATTTGTAGCCGGCTGAACCTGCAGGTGGAAGGCTTCACCCGACACTCCACCACCTCTATGATATCCGTAGAGTTCTTCAATAACCGATTACACGCCGTTGTCGCCTATACGCGACAGATCCGCGTGCGCTTATAAGCGACACACGTACCTGTCAAAGTCAAGGTGCTGCCGCTCCATGGTCGCGCGGGCTGTAGCAATGATATTCTCCACAACCTTTCCACGAGTTAAGCTAATTAAAAGTGCACTTTGAACTTTGTACTCTAAAAACGGGAGAAAATGGACCAAGTTTACAAAGGCGGTTTTGCTTGCGCACAGCGATCATCTGCAGCTGGTGCGTCTTTTTCAACAGAGATAGTGCTACACATCTTTGATTTTCTGATCATGAATATATAATAATTATTTAGTATATACAGTATTTGTACAGTTCGATAGCATGGCTAAGCAAAGATTCACAGCAAATGACGTGGGTGGGATTGCTAGTGTGTGATGATGATGAACCAATGATGCAAGATGGTGACAATGAAGATTTTCTGTGTGATGAAGGTAAACCTAAAACTAATACAACTGCATAAATTACTGTTATGATCTAACAGATGAGATTGACGATGACGAACAGCACAGGATGCACGCTGTACGGTCCAGCACTTCTCACCCAACATCAATCGCTACCAACAACACCCCCAGCAATCACTCTCTCCTCCCAACATCAATCGCTACAAACACCCCCAGCGATCACTCTCTCTTCCCAACATCAATCGCTACCAACCCCCCTAGCGATCACTCTCTCCTCCCAACATCAATCGCTACCAACCCCCCTAGCGATCACTCTCTCCTCCCGACATCAGTCGCTAACAACCCCCCAGCAATCCCTCTCTTCTCTCAACATCAGTTGCTATCAATTCTCTCCGAGGGGTCTTACACGGCCTTGTGGTATGTATATACACACACACATCTACATACATACATTAACTCACCTGGACTGTACCGGAACCCCCAAGTCCCCATTCCCTGTCCCCCTCTTCATCCACACCCTAAACATGGGTCCTGAGCCCATTGGGGGTGTTGGCCAAAGGACTGGGGTATGCGAGGTTTGCAGGGGTGTGTCTGGGGACAACCCCCTCATGGAGGTGGAGCCACCTCTCCATCTAGGTTCCACCCCTGCCTAACTCCCAGTCCTGATCACACCCCGGATAGGGTGGAGGTAAAGTAAAAGAAAAGAAAAAGGGGCAAGTAGTCGAGCAGTTCAGGCTCCGTTGGCTGCAAGCACTGCCTGGCAGACTGCACTGTCAGCACCACGTGCTCACGGTCGGTTATGCGCATGCGCCAACCGCTGACCGGCTCGCTAACCTCGGTTAACGTATACCGTTAACCGTCATTTAACTCACCCTGGACTGTACCGGAACCCCCCCAGTCCCCATTCCCTGTCCCCCTCTTCATCCCACACCCTAAACATGGGTCCTGAGCCCATTGGGGGTGTTGGCCAAAGGACTGGGGTATGCGAGGCTTGCAGGGGTGTGTCTGGGGACAACCCCCTCATGGAGGTGGAGCCACCTCTCCATCTTGGTCCCACCCCTGCCCACTGAGTGGTATGTACAACATGCCACACCCCCAGACACACTCCTCATGCTTATAATTCTCTCAAACTGAAGATTCAGCTCATGACCTATTTGCTAGTGACGCTGAGTAGTTAGCTAGGTGGGAGCGTGGTGTCCAGATGTATCGTAGAAAGGCTGGGCTAGACCAGCGTCCCAGGGCCTGTATCACCGAGTCCGGGATTCCCGCCTGGGCCGCAGCTGTCGCGGCCCCTATTCTGAAGCTGTGCCCCGAATAACCGGCGATTGGCACCCCGGCCCGCGAGAGCGCCGAACGAACTAGTTCCACGAAGCGGGATTTGGTCAGCGGTGAGCCGTCGGTGGTGCAAAAGAAAGCCCCTGGCCGTGTTCCGTGCAGGGACACGCACGAGCGGACAGCTGTTACCGGGCAGAGGTCGTTATCCGTCGCCACCATGAAGACCTCTACCCCTCTCCCGTACTGGTCTGTCTTCGACCTCTTCAGGAATACGCGCAGGACACGGCCGTCGTCGCTCATACTGACGTCGCCCCAGGACAAGTGGACTGCCGGGTCATATGCCGACCCCGCCGGCACCGTTATCTCTCCTGCTCGGAAAAAACCGAAAAAACAGATGGATGACGCGGCCCACACCAGGTGCTCTACGTATGTCGCCGACTGACGGGTCCTGAGCCCATTGGGGGTGTTGGCCAAAGGACTGGGGTATGCGAGGCTTGCAGGGGTGTGTCTGGGGACAACCCCCTCATGGAGGTGGAGCCACCTCTCCATCTTGGTCCCACCCCTGCCCACTGAGTGGTATGTACAACATGCCACACCCCCAGACACACTCCTCATGCTTATAATTCTCTCAAACTGAAGATTCAGCTCATGACCTATTTGCTAGTGACGCTGAGTAGTTAGCTAGGTGGGAGCGTGGTGTCCAGATGTATCGTAGAAAGGCTGGGCTAGACCAGCGTCCAGGGCCTGTATCCACCGAGTCCGGGATTCCGCTGGGCCGCAGCTGTCGCGGCCACTATTCTGAAGCTGTGCCCCCGAATAACCGGCGATTGGCGCCCCGGCCCGCGAGAGAGCGCCGAACGAACTAGTTCCACGAAGCGGGATTTGGTCAGCGGTGAGCCGTCGGTGGTGCAAAAGAAAGCCCCTGGCCGTGTTCCGTGCAGGGACACGTACGAGCGGACAGCTGTTACCGGGCAGAGGTCGTTATCCGTCGCCACCATGAAGACCTCTACCCCTCTCCCGTACTGGTCCGTCTTCGACCTCTTCAGGAATACGCGCAGGAAACGGCCGTCGTCGCTCATACTGACGTCGCCCCAGGACAAGTGGACTGCCGGGTCATATGCCGACCCCGCCGGCACCGTTATCTCTCCTGCTCGGAAAAAACCGAAAAAACAGATGGATGACGCGGCCCACACCAGGTGCTCTACGTATGTCGCCGACTGACGAGATGGGCAAATGACGCGCAGGAGGGACGGGGTTAAGGGGAGGCGCTCCTGGGAGGCGGGGCCTGCATTGACCCGTTCCCTGCGGATCCCGCTCTGCACCAAACGCAGTCGGGGAAGAGACGAGGACTCTCGAGGTTCTGGGAGACCACGCATAACCTGGGTGTGCCGGACAGCCGCCAGGTATGTTCGAATCGTCGCCGGCGCTATTCCCTCCCTCGCCAGCGCAGTCACGAAGTAGCACAGCAACGTCTCCGAGACGGGGAACGGTGTCGGCACACCAAATGCATAGCAAAATGACAAAAAACGGTTCACACCCGACCGATAGGTTCGTCTGGTCGAATCGGCTATACCGCCGTCACAGTACTGAAGAAGCGCCTGGTCCAGCGAGGAGATGTCCAGCCGTCGCGGTCCAGGAGCAGCTCTCGTAGCCCCGGAGGGATGATGGTCGGCTGCGGGTCTGGTGACTGGGCCTTGGAGAGAAAAACGGATCGCCTGTTACGGGAGAGATCATCAGCCAACATATTATCCCTCCCCGGCAAGTAGGCTGCGACTAGCTCGAACCCGAACCACGCCTCCAGGAAAAAGAGGCAGCGGACAAGCCGCATCATCTCCCTATCCCGACATGACCTCCTGTTAACCGCATGTACAGCCGCTTGGTTGTCACACCACCACCGCACTCGACAGCCATGCCAGTGTCTGCCCCAAATGGCGCATGAGACCAGGCCAGCGAAGAGTTCTTTGAAGGAGATGTGGTGACCCTGGGCCAATGCGGACCACTCCAGCTGGAACCACCTGGAGTCATACCATGCTCCACAGCCCCAGCTCCCCGACGCATCAGAGGTCACCCTGACTGTTGGTTCGCCAGAGCGTGGGAGTATTGCAATACCATTCCAGTGCTCCGCCAGTGTAGCCCACCACTGGAGGTCTGCTCGAAATTCGCAGTTGAGCCTGATATGGTGGTGCCCCTTCGTAGCACCCGGGATCCGGAGTAGGTCAATGATTCGACGGAGGAATGCCCTCCCTGGCCTAACCACCTGGCAGGCATGTTGCATAGTGCCCACCAGCGACTCCAGATGCCGGCAGTCACGCCTTCTCACGCCGATGTCGTGGAAGGCCGAGTGGTTGGCGGGGACTACGTCCTCGGGCGTTTAGGGTTATCCCCCCCGCAGTCAGAAGCTGGGTGGGGCCGCTTGCATTTTAAGCACAAGTGTGCAAAACGCCACTGCGTATAACGGCACCTCTGCCCCCCTG